GTATCATAAATTAATTAAATGTGAATGTTCATAGCGGTTACTGATCTTGATTCACACTGTGTTACTCTACTGAGTAAATTACAGGGTTAAGTTGTGTAAAATGAGACTAATTCAGTGATGAACCAGTCCAGTCAATGTATGGCATTGCTTTTGTAGATTAAAAAAAAAAATTGTGTGTTTTTCTTACAAAATAGAACTGGGTTTGATAAAGGTTGAATTAATTTGAGTCTGTCCTTCTACCTGTTATAATGTCTCCAGTATCCTTTAAAAAGTCATTGTAAGTTGCTAGACAGAAATGGGCTGTTGAGACAAATGGAAATGCAGACATTATTTGCTTGAGATAATGCGTGTGGCAATTTGGCTGCAACTAGTAATTTTGATTCTGAGGTGAATTTACTTTCTGGTTGCAAAAGTTATGACAACACTGCAAAGAAGATGAAAGATGTTAAGATTACAACATATGAATTTGAAAAGTAATCTGTTTTGACCACATCAAATAAAAATCAGTTGGCATTTGCACAATAGGTATCTGCTCCAGAACTGAGGTCTGACTGTAATCTTGACCCCTGCTTCTACAGCATTCAGCAAAAATAAATTACTTGGCAAATTAAATTCATTGTGCTAAATGAAAACTCAGTTCCTTGCATAGCTTCAAGTATGTGTAAACAGCTGTAGAATGGTGCTACCTAGTTTCACATGTTAAAGTCCTCTTTGATAATACCATAATATAAACTTCTTGTAATGGACAATTTTTCAGAGCTTTTCTTTTGCTCCCATTAACATGCATATATGAGAGAGATTACAGAAGTTGACCTTTACTGCTGTTAAACAGTAAATGTCCATTCCTTCTCAAATTTAATGGAACTCTTGTTCTTAACTGGTCTATCTACAACTCACCCACTTCACTTTCGGAAGGGTGGAGTCTCTTGTGTTACAGACTCAACAACCCAGTCATTTAATGCTAGCTGTGATACTGACATGCAAGTAAGCATTGTGTAGGGATGTATATGTTGTCTGGGTATGAACCAGATCAGGTCCAGAGGAAATCTGGCCATGTTTGTTGTTATGCCCAAGCTAATTAGCTGTGTCAACCATCAGAGCTCATTACTTTGGACTCAGCATTGCACTAGCATGTCTAGATTGTACCAGAACAGGCAGTAGGCTTACAAAGTGCTGTTTTGCACCTTCTGCATTACCACAACAGGTTTCTGCTAGCTCTGGCAACTCATAATGTTCACATCATAGCCTTGTTTGTACTGTGCATGGAAAGAAAGGAGGCAAAAGCTTTTAGGAATAAATGGTTTAATGCTACTAGAAAAGATCAACCATGATTTCAGTTGTAATGACTGCTTCTCCTAGTTCCAATAGCTAAATATGTCTGAGAGGCAGACATATTGTCTGTTTTCTTCTATTATTTCTCTCCTTCTAAGAATATATATATATGTATCTCTCACTGGAAGCATATGTCACTGAAAATCACTTTAGTATTAAGGCTTATCAAGGTGTCAGCACAGAAGAGTCTGTTCTTTTGTGTTTCTCCTAACTATCCTGCCTTATGTATTATGTGCACTGGCAGCCGAAATTGATTGTGGCACCTTACATATCTTACAACCAATCACTCCTTTGCCATGTCCCTCTAAAGGAGATTGTAAGGATATAATTTTAAAAACAAAAAGCCTCCTTGGAAATAAATATTCTCATGCTATCACATTGATTTTCTGATATACGTTCAAAGATAGACCTATTTCTAACAGCACAAGAAGTATGTTTGTTTTCCTGCTTGACGACTGCCTAGTGCTGTAGTTGATATACGCTCCTGACTGTATTAGTACAAAGGCAAGACAAAGATTTCATTTCTGTGCCAAGAAGCCTGGGACTAAAGCTCCTACCCTTTCTCCTCTGATTATTGTAACTTCATGCCAGTGAAATCTGTGGGTCTAAACAAAAAAAACTCTAAAAAAATTTCCTCTTATTTCTGTAAGAGGAACCATTAGACTTGCAGTGGTCTCTCTTCAGAGTGATTACTAGATTAAAGATCTGCTGTAAGTGAGCCCACAGTCATTGAGCAGAGTGTTTTCCAGCTGTGACCTGAGAAAGACAATGCTTTGCCTGTTAGTAGCTTGGCTTTGCTACTTCCCCTGGGGAGCTACTAACACAGCTTACAGGAAATGAATTTACAAAACATTTATAAAGATTTGTTTCCTAGGATGGGTAACCACGCAGAATGTGTGTTTCATTGAAGATACATGCCTCAAAAAGTGTGAAAAACTCATTCTGGAATACAAGGCAAGCTAACTGAGGGTTTAGGCATTTTTATGTTTGGCTGTGACTACAGGAACAGCGTGTGAGGATTCTTCTTCAGCAGCAGTAAAGCAAGCATTAGGATAACACTACAAGCAGCAAACAACATTTCCTTTTATATCTTCCATCTAGTTTAAGGCAGATCATCTAAGTTCCCTGTGTAGTCAGTGAGTAGAAGGGAATGCTTCCAGATCTCCTCAGATTTTTCTCACTGCAGTGAGTGAGCCATTCCACCTCTCCTTCTGTACGTTCATTATGCTGGAAAACCTCCTGCCATGGCCTATATTTGTCCTTGCAAACTGAGAGCAAGCAGGCTGTGGATGTGAGTACCTCTCACTTAAGTGCTTAAAATGAGGTGCAGCCAAGTCCAGATCTAATTCCAGAACTACTGGGACATCAATTTAGAGAGAACAGGATTATAAGAACTAGATTACACTTGGGAAAGTGTGCTAAGCTTTAAATACTTGTTTAAGAAATGACATGTATTAGATTTGATAATATTTTTAACTGCCTTTTTCTAACTGTTGGTACATTCATAACCATTTGGTCTTAGTCAAAAATATAAGTGCAACTACTGACAACCTGGTCCCTGTAGGCAAATAATGTAAGATTGATGTGTGTCTGTCTGTGCACACAAACACACATTTAAATACATATAATGTTGAATAAAAAAAAATTAAATTGGAACTGAAAGCCTTTTCATCTACCGAAGTTAGACATTTGCCAAGTTTGTCTTTCATCCTGCAAAGGTTGATGACCTTGATAATGCTCGAGCAGGTCTATGAATCTGCACTATTTTTCAGTAAATACATTCAGTTCCATCAGTTTGTTACAAACCATGATTTTAGCGTTAGCCGATCAGTTGAGCGGCAGCTGCATTTGTTTCACTGATGTGGAATATTAAGGGGGTTTGTTTGCTTGCCTGTTTTTTAATAATTTATTTTGTCAGTTATGAAATACAGGAAAAATCTTGAAAGCAGTTGAGAAAATTCTTTTCTCCAAAGCTTCCAATTTAACTCTTGAATGCAAGCAAATCCAAAATACTTATTAACTGCTGCCTTCTCAGTTGAAGTTTTGGCTTAGTAATAACTGAGTAACTACTTTATTTTACTTCTGGTTAGTTTTAATTAAATCCCTATTTTACATTGTTCGATTTTCTATAAAAATAAATATTTAATCTGTCACAGAGGAGATTGTTGCCATACACTGTGTAGTCAGTCAGATTGTCCTCAAGTACTTAGAAAAGCATAGGTATTTTGTCTGTCTGGTTATCCTGCAAGCCTCTCCAAAACCTTCAAAATACGTCTTCACAATATTTGGCTTTATTGAGCTCAGTTGTAGTCCAAAGCAGTTTCTTCAATTCCAAAACATTTGTTCCATTGTAATAGAAGTCACAGGTTTTGCAACATATATATAATCTTAAGAAAATTTGACTGAATCATGGAAACGATGGGCCCAACTTCCACTTACCATTAAAAAGTATTTATGTCTCCTCCTTTGGGTAAGTTGTACCTTTTCTGTGTGCTAGGCATAGCTCTCTAGAACCATAAACTTTTCCGGTAATTTCCTTTGAATTTTTTCTTTTCTATGCTTGATGTAGGGGAAGTATTCATAGTGCCACTGATAGAGCACTGATTAATTGCTGTGATCTTTGTCAACTTAATTCGAGTTGGCCATATGCTGTATGGGATTTTGAAGCATTTTTGTCATATTGTAACCTCATGATTATAATAAATTCTCATTAGGCAACATAAGAAAATTGTGATGAAATACAAAGAGAACCTGTGTAGGTATTCAAATTACATCCCAACTGTTGGGGAAGGTAAGTGTGATTTCTGCTGTGCAACAGGAAAACTGAGGCACTGGCTGCGTGTGCTTACTCTTACGTGTTTGAAACAGGAAAGGAAGGGATAGAAAAGGGGAGCTGATCCACATCCAGAATGAAGCCAGGCTATGTTTTTAAGCCTGTTTACTTTGTGAAATTGCTGTGGGTAGAAAAACTGAAAAAAGGAGGAAAAAATGGGGATAAAAATATGTCTCTTAAGTGGGATAACACTTAACCTCCTTTGCTTTTTGCTCTTCTTTCTTATAAACTGTGGAACTTAAATATTAAGATATAAAACTATTCACATTCCAATTTACATGAAAAAAGATTGATTTTGTTTTAAGTGCTAGATGCGGGGGAACTAAAATTAAGTATTTTCCCCTTTGGTTAGCTGAAAAACATTTCCAAAAGCAGCTCCAGTTATATATCATGTTCCAGTCTGGTTTTAGGAATCTGTGAGAACATTCAAGTTAAGCTTTCGTTATCTGTATTCACCTTTGTCTATTTGCACCAAAGTGAAAAATGCAAGGAATTTTCTGGCTTGTGCACAGGACTCAGCTCAAATAAGTTTAATGAGATAACACATTCGGTTTTGCACACAGATTCATACCTACTGATGCACAAAGTTGAAAATGTAGGAGGCAAGAAAAAGAGCACAGTGCTGATATAACAATTGCTGTCCCAAAACAGGCAAACCAATACTTGAAGAGAAGCCAAAAATAGTTAGAAAAATTCCAAATCTTAAAACAAAAGCTTTATTTCACTTACTGAGAAGAGCAAGTGCTCTCCATTGTCCTATGTGGATTTTATGCTCTCTTGTTACCTTCAGCATAAAGTAAAGAAACATTTATGGACATTATTCCTCTTTCACTAGAACCAGCATTCTACTTTGGAAATGATGAATACTATGTTGATGAGAGTGCTGGCTATATTGAGGTATGTGTCTGGAGGACTGGAACTGATCTGTCTAAAGCTGCCTCTGTTACAGTGAGGTCTCGCAAATCTGAGCCAGTAACTGCAGAGGGTAAGTAATTGTTTTGCTCTAGTTTCATAATACATCTCAACAGCAAATGCTAGTACTTTTGGTCTTGTTATAGATTCAGCTACATAAGATGAAATTTATATGTCTCTTGCCCTTAGATATTTCTTCTTAGAACAAATTAAGTAGTTACAGAATTTCTCTCAAAGAAACAGGAGTAGGAACAACTGCGAAGTACAGCACTAAGAGAAACGCCTTCAAATCCTCATATAAAACACTGTCCCACAAAGGCAGTTGATTACTGCCTCAACAGCATGCTCTGGGCACAGAGTTATATTCACTGGCAGTATGCAGAGTTTGCTCCTCTCATTTTTACCGTAAACAATGAGAAATTATTATCTAGTATCCTGTTCAGCAAAAGGATTGCTTCAGCTGTGTGGTTCAGTGATGCCTTGACAGAACTTTTGTCTTCAGAATCAAATGGTTTTTTCCCCCACAAACCACAATGTTTAAAACTAAGACATTCGTATAGAGACAGCATAAAAATTACCTTCCTTAGATGCTTATCCTGAGTGTAACTGGACAGTAGAATTTATCCTTCTCAACTAATTTTTGGTGAGGCAAAATTGTGTAAAACTTTATTGTTATTTCAGAAATATCTAAACATCATATACATGTATCATACATGACATGATAGACATCATATTTCTCATGAAAAAGAAAATTATGAAGTCTGAAAAAAATAAATTATTACTTCATTTCTGAACTTGCTTTATATGATCTGATGTCTTTATCTCATCCTGAATATTTAAGTTATTTTATTTCTGGGGGCAAAAAAAATTTTCTTAAAGTAAGAATCTTAATTCATTGTGCCAGGACCTCTAGGATTCAAAACTGGGAAAGGCACAGCTTTTGGGCTCTCTAGTCTGTTGGTTGCAGCCTGAAAGCTCTGACATGGCTGGCTGCCTGTAAAGCCATGAACCTCATTCTTGGTCTTACACGGTGCAGCAACAGATCTGCTGCACTGAGCTGCCGGTCCTGGCATCCTGCCTTAGAGGCTTAGCTCTGGGCTAGAGTGGCAGGGACTCTGGGCAAATGCCCATCTGATGGTGGCCTTTAATCTTGCCAAATTGTGTCAAATTCACAGAATTCCAAACCTTATTTCAATTTCAATGAAACTGTTTCCCCCAAAGCTTAGTTTCAACAGCTCTGCTGCTTATTCTCCCAAAAAATGAACATTAAAACTCAGTCCTTCACTAAAGTCCTTGCTACCTTTAGTGCTTTGGTTCCAAGATAAAGTGTCATGTTTTAGTCAGTATCTTGTTTTGTTTGCTTTCTTCTCATTGGCTTGTTATGGATTGGCTTGCTTCCCTTAAAACAATACAATACAAAACAAAACAAAACAAAACATAAAAGCAAACCAAACCCAGTCTGTCTTTAACATTAAGGTGCCAGACCTCACCTGACATGGTCTGAGCAGAATTTGATTCTTTTGGTTTCCATTCATTCTGGTTTACATAGCTCTTCTGAACAGCAGTTCTTCCTTACAGTCAGCTCACTGGCCTTTTCTCCTTCCCTTTTTAGATTAGTCTCAAAAATTCCATCTTCGTTACAGAATTGAAATTTCCTTCCAAAAGACTTTGCTTCATCTCCAGAGTCTCTCTCAAAGCTTTTTGCTTACTTTAATTCTCACTTAAAACAAACTTTATTAGTTTTAGTAGAATAACTGTCAGTTTACAACAGAACAGAATCATTTTGTGACTTGAATGGCTAAACAAAAAGTAGCTTAATATTGACTTGTTTTATTGTATGGTCCGACTTAGATGGTCAAAAGATATTTTTGCTTTATGTGACTGCCAGAATTTGACAAATTTTAAAATTATATTTAAAGAAAAAATACATTTACCTACAATTAACTGCCTAATGATAGATATTTTTATGTTTCAGTACATGTAATGCTATTTATTAGTATGGTATTTTTTAACTCTTTTCCATTGGTAGCTGGACTAGATTATGTGGGCATCAGTCGTAACTTGGATTTTTCCCCCGGAGTCAATATGCAGACGTTTCGTGTGGTAATTCTGGATGACCTTGGACAGCCAGTGTTAGAAGGAACTGAGAAGTTTGAGCTTGTGCTAAGGATGCCCATGAATGGTGCCCTTGGAGAACCTAGCAAGGCCACCATCTTCATTAATGACTCAGTGTCTGACTGTGAGTAATAATTTTTTTTACCTCTTCACATTTATACAGGAGCTGGATGACTGCAATACACAAATAGCACTTGTCCTTTTGAATCACAGCAAAGCCAGTGAATCTACATGTTTCAGCTACAGATGTGTTAAGTCATTTGCTGTCTAGCTGCTTATGTTGTATATCTGGTGCAATGTAACATAATTAAATTTGAAATAGTGGAGGGAAGATATGATAACTTCTGCAATTACACTTTACACATGCTTTTTATGTTTTTCTGCCCAGTGCCTAAGATGCAGTTTAAAGAATCTGTATATGTAGGCAATGAGAATGATGGACAGATTTCTGCCATGATATATAGGAGTGGGGATATCCGATACACATCCACTGTGAGATGCTATACAAGACAAGGTTCAGCTCAGGTAATGATGGACTTTGAAGAACGTCCTAATACTGACAGTTCCATCATCACATTCCTTCCTGGTAAGCTCTTGATCTTATTTTAGAAGCCTTCAGTCTACCATGTTTTGTTCTGCTTTGCTTTGCTTTGTTTGTTTGTTTGTTTTGTTTTGTTTTAATTGTGTCTTCCCATAAAATAGTGCCAAAAAGACCACTCTGGAAAACCAATTTTTTTTTCCATACACAATGGGCAGAGTGCATAGAAATGATGTTGTCTCCTTTTGCTTCACTTCTGACCTAGAGGGGTAATCAATAGGAACCAAAGGGACATATCTTTGTATAGGTTCAGCCTGAGTGCCAGGATCTTTTTGATAGCAAAAGCAGGTTCAGTGTAACACAGTAACAGAAGCACAGTCTTGCTGTCAGAAGGGAAACTTCAGAAGCTCTGCTCTTTGTTAAGCAGATTTCTGGTAAATACATTTGACTTGCACTGAAATGAGTAATGGATCTTTCAATAGGGATATAGTTCTCTAATTTCTATTTGAATTTTTTTTTCCCACCGAGGCTTTCCTAAGACAGTTCACCAATATCAGGTACTTAATATCTCACATCAGAGGTGAAATACAAATAAGTCAGATGTTACTACCTTGAAAGAATATTGCCCGATTCCTTCTATTTGGGCAGAAGACAGTTTAGTCTTTTAGTCCTTTAAGTCTACATACACATAATATTTTTTACAAGCACTAAACAAGTTCTGTCATCAGCCTGAAATCCTCGGTATGCCCTTATCACAGAAATGACGAACTTCATATTTCTATAGACATATATCATTATCATAGTTCTCTTGTAAAGTGAGTTGTTCAGTTTATCTTTATTTAGAGCTGGCCTCAGCTTTTAGTGCTATCATGTACTCTATACCTTTGCCATTGCTTCTGTGCAACCAGGAAAGAGAGTCCAACTTGTTAGGATTAATAGATCTGGGCTCCTTAGGACGTGACTTTCCTCTTTTTTTGAGTCTTGCTCTACCATTCCTCTGTGAAGACAAGTAGCAAAGAGATCTGTTAGGATCATATCTTGTTTCCATAAGCTTCTTAGGCATGTTTAATATGCAGCAGTTTCAGAACAGGTTTCACATTTCCTGTGTAACAATGAAGAGGATGAATATTTTTAATTTTTTTTTCTCCTCCTAATGGATAATTTATTTTCTATAGGGGGAAAAAACAACCTCAGAAAATGAACACAGTCAGCATTCTGGTCTGGTTCTTCATCCTGAAGAGCATTGATCATATTTGCATGTATAATGATGAAAAAGTACTGTAAATTGACCTCTTCTCTCTCATATATAAGTGAAGGTCCACACAGTTGGAGAGTGTTGAGTCAAAAGAGAGTTGAAATAAAAAAACTCCAGGACAAAATTACCATTAGCATTGGTGAAGGTTTCTATTACTCTCCTTCCTTGTGCAAGTATTTATTTTTTAAATGCACACTATGGAGAGGTCACTGAGAAGGAGTATTTTATTCTAAGATAAAACAAAAGGAGCAATATGTGTGAAGTGGATATACCAAATAGAAACTTCTCTTAGAGAAGTCCCAAAATGAGGGACTCCACTTTAATGAGTTTCCATAGAAAGGTAGTGATTGCTAATTCTGCTTTCACTATCATCATTACTCATTAACTTATATGGTGTCAAGGTGGATACCTTGGCCAGCAGAAGCAGCCTGTGGTTCCTTGAGCTTGGAGGGAAGTGCTTTAATAGAGCAAAGAACACCTAAGTTCTGCATAATATTACCTTCAGAATGATTGCAGGTGAAACTGAGAAGCCTTGCACACTGGTGCTTGTGGATGATACTTTCCATGAAGAAGAGGAAGAACTACGTCTGGTTCTTGGCACTCCAAGAAGTGATTCTTCCTTTGGTGCCTCTATTGGCGAACAAAATGAGACGCTGATAAAGATTCGGGATGATGCAGACAGTAAGAAATTATTTTGGTTTTACTGGCTTTTGGAAGCCCATTTGTGTGCTTTAAAAACATTTTTCTTCTAATTACAGAGGCTATTATTAAGTTTGGTGAGACCAAATTTAGTGTGAGTGAACCAAAGGACACAAGGCAAGTAGCAGTTGTAAAAATCCCAGTGCTTCGTCTGGGAGACACTTCCAAGGTTTCTGTCGTGAGAGTTCATACAAAGGATGGATCTGCTACTTCTGGAGAAGACTATCACCCTATATCAGAAGGTAGGATAATTCAGATGATTATCACATCCTACTGTAACATGTTTGAAAAATGAAATAACTATGAATAGAATACTTTGCAACCACATCCATTAATATGTTTTGCTATTCAAACTCAGTATGGACATGATCCCATGTGGTATGCAACAGCCAAATTGGTCTTGGAATACTAGATATCAGTGAAGGTATTTATAAAAGAATTCTGACTCCTTTGAAAACATCTGTAGCTCAAGTAACTGGAAGAAATGTGTGAGTGCCACCTTAGTAAGATTTGCAAAGTCTAATAGAACATTACTCTGCAGAAGCAGCTACTTTTGGATACGACTGTGTAGTTGTTTCTCAAGCAATTCATTAAGCTAATGGCTTTTGCTCTGTGTAGGAATTAATGTCTATTTCTGTTTATTTTTCAACTTTCATAATAATTAGGCTGTCTTTCTGTATCTCTACAATTCACTGCCTGCTGCTCCTCATTAGTAATGAATGAGAGAAGTTGTGCAACAATGTGAGAAATTTCTTAGCTGATGAATGTCTTTCCACTAATAGCCCACCCACATGGTTCAGTAAATGACTAATAGAGTTTGTAGCACTATGAATTTTTTTTTCTTCTAAAGTTTATGATAATACATTATACTAATCTGTGTTTTAAGATAAATCATTCATTGCTCGAGTGTTTTCACAGCTTTGGATAAACTATTTTGGTGTCCAGTCCAGCTGAAAGATAGGACTTATTTTTTAACATCCCCCAACAACATTGGGCTATCTCCAAATTCCACAGAAGAAGAGAAATTTCCCACTAGTGATATTTGAAGAGAAAAATTGTTAGCAATAAGAAAATTATCAACACAGAGCTTGCTAATTCCAGTCACTTTTCCTCTTGCATTTTAGAGTTTTGCTCCTTCCTCTTGAAAACCACAGGAATTTTTAGTGTCAGCTAATACTTATCCTATACATATTACCTATACGCATTGCCTTGCTTACCCTCACCCTGCTGTGCACTGGCAGCACATGGGAGCAAAGTTTTCAAGGGAAACATGCTACTGCAGAACAAGACCATTCTCTTACTTTGAGAAAGGTCTGTGATCTGCAGGATTTCCCCACAGGTTTCAGAACATCTGTGGGTTTAGGGAGCCTGCCTATTCAGCCATGAGTGCAAACCCCACATTCTTAACTGTGTAATGTGAGGGAAGTGTGACAAACTGAAATTCAGTAAAATTCTTAGCTCTCACACAGCATGTTTATTACCACAAAGAGTATTTTCATGGCTTAGTAACACTTAAGGCCAGAAGGATCATTAGATCACTTAATCAGACTCACTGTGGATTGCAAGATTGTCCCAGTTTCCCCCACTTACTTCTGTACTGAGCCCAGTAACTTTTGGTTAGAGAAAGTATATCCTTCAGAAAGGGTATCCAGTCTTGGTTTGAAGGCGCTGGAGAGGACGAGTGTTCCTTAGCGTTTTGCTTCACTGATCAGTCCCTATCACTTATCTATGCCTTATTTCCCATATGTAGTTCAGCTGTCATTCACTGCTGCTTATTGTGCCTGTCCCTTTAGCACCTGGTATTTTTTGTTTCTGACGGTATTTCAATATACTAATCAGAACATTGCTTTCTGCAAGTCTTTTTTTTTTTCTTCTGGTTCTCAGTTTTTGTTGGTCAGTTCTGTGCCATCTTCAGTTAATTTGACATTGTGCTGGTCTTGGCTGGGATAGAGTTAATTTTGTTCATAGTAGCTAGTAGGGGCCTGTGTTTTGGTTTTGTGCTGAAAACAGTGTTGATAACTCAGGGATGTTTTCCTTAATGCTGAGCAGTGCTTACACAGAGCCAAGGCCTTTTCTGCTTCTCACCCCACCCCACCAGTGAGCAGGCGGGGGGGCACAAGGACTTGGGGGGGGACACAGCCAAGACAGCTGACCCCAACTGACCCAAGGGATATTCCAGACAATATGTCATCATGCTCAGCATATAAAGCTGGGGGCAGAAGAAGGAAGGGGGGACGTTCAGAGTTATGGCGTTTGTCTTCCCAAGTAACTGTTACGCGTGATGGAGCCCTGCTTTCCTGGACATGGCTGAACACCTGCCTGCTGATGGGAAGCAGTGAATGAATTCCCTGTTTTGCACGCATGGCTTTTGCTTTACCTATTAAACTGTCTTTATCTCAACCCATGAGTGTTCTCACTTTTATTCTTCTGATTCTCTCCCACATCCCAACGTGGGGAGACTGAGCGAGCGGCTGTGCAGTGCTTAGTTGCCGGCTGGGGGTAAACCATGACAGACGTCCTTTAAAAAATAAAGACAGTAGAAATGCATCTACTATTTTGGTATCACTCTCACCCATTCCATACAGAAATGTTACGTAGTTTCTGTACTTCTTCTTCTTTTAGTAGTTAATACATCCAGGAATCACAGGACTCTTCTAACTCTGTCAGTGTGGTGGGTGACCCTGGCTGGACACCAGGTGCCCACCACCAAGCTGCTCTATCACTCTCCCCTTCAGCTGGACAGAGGAGACAAAATAAAAGGCTCGTGGGTCGAGATAAGGAGAAGGTGATCACTCAGCATTTACTGTCACGGACAAAACAGACTTGACTTGGGGAAATTAATTTAATTTATTACCAGTCAAATCAGTGTAGGGTAATGAGATATAAAACCAGATCTTAAAACACCTTCCCCCCACCCCTCCCTTCTTCCCAGGCTCAATTTCACTTCCAAATTCTGTACCTTCTCCCCCCGAGTGGTACAAGGGGACAGGGAATGGGGGTTGCAGTGAGTTCATCACATGTTGTCTCTGCTGCTCCTTCCTCCTCACACTCTTCCCCTGCTCCAGCATGGGGTCCCACCCACGAGAAACAGTCCTCCACAAACTTCTCCAACATGGGTCCTTCCCATGGGCTGCAGTTCTTCATTAAATGCTCCAGTGTGAGTCCCTTCCATGGGCTGCAGTCCTTCAGGCACAGACTGCTCCAGCGTGGGTCCCCCGTGGGGTCACTAGTCCCACCAGCAAACTTTTTCCAGCATGGGCTTCTCTCTCCATGGGTCCACAGGTCCTGCCAGGACCCTGCTCCAGCACAGGCTTCCGACGGGGTCACAGCCTCCTTCAGGCATCCACCTGCTCTGGCGTGGGGTCCTCCCCAGGCTGCAGGGGGACAGCCTGCCTCACCATGGTCTTCACCACGGGCTGCAGGGAAATCTCTGCTCCAGCACCTGGAGCACCTCCTCCCCCTACTTCTTCACTGACCTGGGGGTCTGCAGGGTTGTTTCTCTCACATATTCTTACTCCTCTCTTCTGGTTGCTGTTGTGCAGCAGTTTTTTTCCCATCTTAAATATTTTATCCCAGAGGCACTACCACCGTTGCTGATGGACTCAGCTTTGGCCAGCGGTGGGTCCATCTTGGAGCCAGCTGGCATTGGCTGTATCCAACATGGGGGAAGCTTCTGGTGTCTCCTCACAGAATCCACCCCTGTAGCCCCCCCGATACCAAAACCTTGCCACGCAAACCCAATACAGTCAGCTAAGACTGAACTTTTTATCCTCCATGACTTCTGAAATTTTTTCAGAGGCAATGGTTTTCAAAATACAGTACTCTTTTGTGTAACTCTCCTTTGTGCCTTATTTTTGGTGTATATCATTGTATTAAAATGCATTTTGTTTGAATAAAACCTGACAATACTTTTTATTTAGAATTCTTCAGTCTTTTGGTCATTCACATATGTTACCAACATTTATGTAATAATTAGTCCCAGATCATTTTCAAAATATTAAGTTCTACTAGACTAAATATTGGTCTTTGCAAATTTCTTTTGATTATGATAATGCCTCATTTTCAGTGATTTCTACGTGTGTCCGCTGCTATTCATTATTATGATTTTTAGCATCAAATAGGTTAAACTAAATATATGAACATCAGTAATTTGAAAAGTGAGTATTAACTGCCATCTCTCATGGCTGGGCCTAGAATTACAGCTTGTTATGAACAACAGATTTATTTTTAAGTGTCTCATTATGTTTTTAGAAATTGAGTTTAAGGAGGGTGAAACACAGCACTTTGTGGAGATTGAAGTTCTCTTTGATGGAGTAAGGGAGATGAGAGAAGCCTTCACAGTTCATCTGAAGCCTGATGAGAACATGGTCGCAGAAATACAGGTAACAAACTCATGCAAAGTCCTCAACAACAAAATCTGGTAAACAGACCTTCTCGCTTTCTGGCTCATAGCTTTACTCTTCTTTTGAGGTTTACACATTGCCATCCTGGCTTGTATCTTGAAAGACAGAGAGGATCATCCCAGCTCACACAGTAGCACCTACCCAAAACAGTTTGTTACCAAGGCAATAATGTTCATGGGGTCATAGAAACAATGAGAGACTGAAGTCTTCAAGATTTCATTCCAGACACAGTCTCCTCATAGAATCAGCCCTAAAAACTGATGTCCTCTTGGAAATACTCTCTGGCAATAGAGTATAACCTCTATGCTGTAAAAAGAGCAATCAGGTGAAATATGACTTCTGCTGTCAAAACCAGGTTAATATTATTCTTATTGTGTGAAATGAAATAGCCACACGTTCTTGTTATTTAGCATTATATCATACATACTTTCAATTTAAACAGTATATTCCTCTGATTCTGCATAAAATGTTCTTCAAACTCTTTGGCCGCTTCATCAGTATCACACCAGATACAGTCTGACTCCAGGTAGCCAGACAGCAGAGACACAGCCTTTGCTGATAACAAACACCCTATTTCCACCAGGCATTAAAGTGCACATCAGGGTTCTACCAGAATACTGAAGTGATTCAAGAAAGCTGGGACACAAGGTTAAAAGGTCTGGTATCTTCAGTGTTCTGAAAAGCAAAAATTCATTTTAGCTCTTGCTTTTGTAGTCAGCAATATACTTTCCTGTGCCTCAGCCCTTTCTCAATAGCTCATCCAGTTGAGGTTTTAGAACTTATTTTGGGACAATGTTTCATATTCTGATCAAGGTCTGGCTTGAATCCCCTTGTTTATTTAAATGTTCACAGAGAACTGTTTCTGCCTTTTCATTATCAGACAGCCAAGGCCATAGTTTACATTGAAGAAATGAACAGCATGGCAGACGTCACCTTTCCCTCTGTCCCTCAAGTTACATCCCTTTTGATATATGATGATACTTCTAGAGCCAAAGACAGAACCAGTCCCATAGCTGGCTATCCTGTCATCTGTATCACAGTGAGTATCTCTGTGGAAAGATGGAACAAAATCAGTGGATTTTGTTTGGATAAATTATCAAAATATGGATTTTGTTCAGTGGATTTTAGGCACTCAGTATCAATCCATATTGTTGTGAGTCACACATGAGTTTAAGCTAGAACTGTCCTAAGAGCTAATCTAATTTGTCTGGGTAATGAATCAATTTTCAGGAGGACAAAAAGCATAGAAAGATGTTTTACATGTTCATCACTAAGAACAGTTTGATACTCAAACTATGTCTACGATTGCTTGACCTTACTATTTCCTGCATTATCTTCCCTTAATTTACAGAGTTAAAATCACTGAAGATAACAGATGACCCATTGTTTTTAATGAGTGTCACAGACTGAAAAATGAGTACTGTTTGTTGAAGTACTACAGGCTTCTTTCATTGTAATTTTGCAGCTGAAAGGTTTGCATGAATATTCCTATGCAGTGAGGAAGGTTTTGGTCCATCTGCATCTTCAGTTTGTTTCTCACACCATTCCTTATTCACAGGAATGGATCATATGTTGAAATGCAAAGTTTATTTGCAGAATTAGATCAAAGGGTGAAATTCATGGTAAAGTAGCATGTGGGAGTGTAGTTTGTGCCTTCATAACTCTGTTAGCTTTTCACCCATAAATCATAATTTAAAATAATATTTTTATTTCCATAGGCATAATTAGACCTGCCTTTTAATCTACCATAGCAGTGCCAAAAGCGTCACTGTCAAAATAAGGTGATTTCTTAAGAGATTTACTGGGGTTGTCAGTTCCATGTTGTTGAGTTTTGTGACTCTTGATAAATTAAAATTCCTTTGCCATGAAGCAAATAAATTGTTAACACATCTGATTTGTTCTGCAGGCTTGTAATCCTAAATATGAAGACTTTGACAAGACTGGTTCTATATGTGCCAGTGAGAACATCAATAATACTCTGACACAATACCGGTGGCTTGTAAGTGCACCCACTGGTCCTGATGGTGTGACTAGCCCCATGAAGGAGGTTGACTTTGATACTTTCTTCACTTCCTCCAAGATGATTACGCTCGACTCCATTTACTTTCAAGCCGGTTCTCGTGTCCAGTGTGCAGCTCGTGCTGTGAATTCAGATGGGAATGAGGGTCTTGAGCTCATGAGCCCTATTGTAACTATAAGCACATCAGAAGGTAAGACATCTGCACCTATTGCAGACCTCTTTTGGATCCCAAATTCCATCCTAACAAAATCTGATTACATGATCAAGTGTTTTAAAATTACACTCTCAGCTTTTCTTCTGTTGTTTGTAGAGGTGGTGCAAAAACACTCTTCTTAACACAGCAGACAATTGTATAATGAAAACGGTTTTCATCTTTGATAGTTCTCCACATCTTTAAAGAGTTATCCACATAGCAAACTTGCATGGTCAGGAGAACAGTATACCATGTGCATTGGAATTAGTGAAACCTGGCTTCTGTTGGCTTTTGAATTCAACTGTAGTAATGTTGCAGTAAAATCTCAGCTCCTATTAGACATTGGAGAACCCACATGGGAGTGCTATTATGAATGCCTAGCCAGAAGAAAAGCTTCATTTGGCATTCAGGCCTCACTGGACACCTGAGAATCAGTGTCTTCCTTGACTAAGGACTAAAGCAACTGGTGTCCAGTAACAGGGCATAGACAAAATTTTTTCATGGTTGAGGTATTCAGAATATTCATCCTTCTTCTTTCTCTGATACTCTTTTTGTCTCCCTCTGATCCTTTGATACCTAATCAATACTGAACTGATGCTGCATTCTGTCAGCCAGCAGAGTTACTGTAGTCTACCTCCTTTGCCCAGCCAACTCTTTTCATTAAACTTGTACTGGATATTGTTATGAAGCAGAGGTGAAGAACTGACATGCACACAAGTACAGTCTGATAGCATATGCTATTTTGTTGTAGAAATCACAGATGCAGATACTTTTGTTTCTTGTATAATATGGAGAATGAGTAATTATCAGCAATCAAGGTAAATTACAAAACATTGTATTTTATTACCCTTCTGCAGCCATTTTGCATTCTTTGTGTCATCTCTGCTGCTTTTGTAGCTACACTAACTCTTCTGGGTTTTGTGAGATCTTATGGTAGGTAATAAATTACATGATTGTTCATTTGCAATATCATTTTCATTTCCGTGGCCTTTCCAACTAAATATTTTGGTTACAAGATTTTATTTTCTACTAAGTTATGGCTTTAAGGAGCTTAATGAATGGAATTTCTATTTACGCCTATCCTTTATTCCACATTTTGAGTGTAGGCTCAAGTCACCTTTGCACTATCAGAAACCCTACACCCAAAAGAGGACTCTGTCTAAGGGTATTGTCTACAAGGTGCAGTGTAGTGCTTGTTAGAGGCAGACAACCTTGTGCTGGGTGAGCTAGTTTTGTTATATGAAACAGGCTGGCTATGTTAGTGTTGTAATGCATTATTTGGATTACAAATTAGCAGGGCTAATTAGCTCAGGCTCAGGACTGAATTGTCATGCATATATTACTTCCAGTACCTGAGCTAACTTGTGATGTGGAAGTCAACAATACTGAAGATTGTGTATGACATAAAGGGAATTGTTAGATGCTATGTGGAAAGAAGTGCAGTGATGAAAGCAACCTGCCAAAATCCTGAACATTTTCAGCTTTAAGGATGCTTGACCTTGAGTGCATAGACCAAATTGTCAAAAGTCAGATTGTGCAAAAAAAATTGTATTTAGCCTCTTTAGCACATCTTGCATTTGAGAAAACAAACAAACAAAAAACCAAAACCCCAAAAAGCTGTCATGTGCAGAAGAGAAATTTTGTTTCCTCATGCCAGAAGTTTCCAACTTGGAGCCATTGAGGCAGATGAGGCCCACCAGAACCAATAAACTCTCCAAAAGGAGAGCGCTGTCTCCTCTTTTCTTATAATCCCTCAGAAATGGGCAAAGAGCAGAACATGGGCAAAGGGAACTGTTTTAATTTTCCACTTCTGCTGGTTTCTTTCTTTGGCCATCACATGACTATGCGCTATGATTCTTGTGGCCAGAATGTAGACACTTTTGCATTGAACTATGCAACTAGAAGTTGCATGTATCTCAGATCATATGGTTACAAACCTAATCTTCTGGTCCTACAAACCAGGACTAATACTGGAACAGGTTGAACTAACCCTGGAAAGGATTGCCAAAAAGTTATAGATTTTCCTTTCTTGGAGAAACTCAAAATTCAACTGAACAAGGCCCTAAGCAACTTTATCTAACTTTGAAGCTGGCTTTACTTTGAGCACAGTGTTTCTAGAGATCCTTTGACACAATTATTCTAACTACATTTTGGTCAAATACATTTGGTCAAGTACATTTGGTGCAACAGAAGGCTCATAGAGTCCTATGAAGGTGTATATATGTCCACACCCCAATCCAGTGCCAAAACCAACTGAACACTGATCAGGTATCTTCCATAAAGCTATGTATGTGCTTAAGAGAGTGGGAGGAATTAAAGCATATGCCTCTGAGGACATCTGTAAGAAAGTATGGCATTTGACACTGACTTTGCAAGTATGGTTGACACATGCCACTGAAAATGTACAGGTGCAGTATCATCACCTGGTTTTGAAAATGCGGTCCAGTTGATCAAGTAATGATTTCTGTTTGAATCCTCTTTTGCATACATTCCTGTTCAAACTTCTGGTCAGTGCTGCTCAAAGCGTTTATCTGTCATTCAAGAAAATTCTCCTTGTTTTGGAAATTCATACAGTGGAAAAAAAGTGCATCTAAAAATAGTGCAAGGGAAAGTATAGGTTATTTCCTCTGCACATAAAGTAAAGTTGCTTTCTCTTTTTTCCATTAGGTCTTTGTCAACCTCGTATGTCAGGAGTAGTTGGAGCAGAACCATTCTCTGCTAAATTGCGCTATACTGGCCCAGAAGATCCTGATTATGCCAACCTCATCAAACTGACAGTCACAATGCCACATATTGATGGTATGATAAAATCAGCTGTGAAGTTGAGAGAACTCATACAACAAGCTGTTATTTCAGCTATTTTATTGGTCATGGTATTTTAAATAGCCAAAATAATAACATAATCTTTTAACATGTGGGACCAGAGGAAAATGTGATGAGTGTACAAGTGCAGTTTGCAACAAGGTGCATAGGATACTGTATTGATACATAGTCTTTGATGTGAAGATTAAGTGTTTTCAGATTATTTGCATAGTTTACATAAATTGGGCTAGACCTACACTTTGTAAAACTCCTTTGAAGAGCATATACCAAAGAATTTATTTATTAAAAATATAAAGCCATTTAATTACTATGTGCCTCTGAAAAAAAATCACAAAAAATCCTGATTGAAAAATATGTTAGAGATTTAGAAATATTTTATTTGGCTTTTCATAGTATAAAGACATAATTATTGTGGATAACATTCTCATACACACTTAGTATATCAACTTTCTTTGAATTCTAAAGTACATTAATTGCTTTAAGTACAAAATACAGAAGCACTGCATAACATGCTTAGGGTTTGTCAAACTTTGGCTAAATTAAGCAGCTCTGACCACTGAAATTTAATGTTTTTTAGGCATGCTGCCTGTTATTTCTACAAGAGAGCTCTCCAACTTTGAGCTGACACTTAGCCCTGATGGAACTAGAGTTGGAAACCATAAATGCTCCAACCTGTTGGATTACACAGAAGTGAAGACCCACCATGGTTTCTTAACTGATGCTACCAAAAATCCAGATGTGATTGGAGAGACCATTCCCTATCAATACAGCCCAGTAATTAGAGGCTTCAATACCTTACGCTTCTACCGCAATCTGAACCTGGAAGCCTGTTTATGGGAGTTTGTTAGCCATTATGACATGTCTGAGCTCCTCACAGATTGTGGAGGCACCATTGGGACAGATGGACAGGTACGAAACTGTAACTTGATTTTGTACTGTGTTCTTAAAAAAGATTTCCCTTGTAATACATCTATGCTAGTAGAAATAAGTGGGTTTAGAATTAATTTAGTTTAAAAGGGTTCTTTTTTTTCTGAACAACAAATAGACTTCCCCTAAGGCCAGCTTATTTGTTAAAGCTATCAATCTCCATTAAATGCTAATAGGCTATATGTTGTCCGATTGAAATTAAGGGAATAATTTAGTTTGAATGCAATTTGCTATGATTTTCTTCCAATACAGTTTTGAAGTATTTTAGGACAAGCCAGTCCTGCTTTTACTGTATGGTAAGCCACCTTAGTCTTTTCTTAGAATGAAAGCCTTCTAAAGGATTGCTTTTAACACACTGATAGTACTGGGCTACTTAGTATTTGTCGTGGTGTATCTAGTTTAAAAAAATTTTGAAGAGCCTTCTTGCTGATAACAATGGACTGCCATGTCCTACCAGCTGCTGGGCTCTGCTGATCTCTTGCTCACTGGGAAACAAGACCTGCCAGTGCAGACAGCACAGTGGTCTCACATTACCCAGCAGAAAATTCCTTGGTCAGGAAGGAAAGAGAAGCTGTCAATACGGAATGGCTGAAGAACAGAGCTGTGAAAGTGATTGAGGAGTTAAAACAAAGAGATCAGAGAGATCTTCAGGTATCCTTTGGAAAATTATTTCTAGAAATAGTAATGTGGAAACAAAAGGGTGCAGGATTTCTTCTGGTGCAGTGAAAATGAAGTTAATCCCTAGGTCTTCCTTGTATAATTGCTACATAAGCCTGTCTGATCCCACTCAGGCTCTAGAGTACAAAAGCTGTAGCTATGACGATCAATCCTTTATTACACAGAAAAGTCTCTTTGGGGAATAATCCTACAGGCTGGAAGAAAGACTGGAACGTAGTACCTCATTTCAGAGAAGTCCATCCACAGCATGATGGCTGTGTGGTAAAGCTCAGTCACTTTCCTGGCTCCCTAGCCTTCCTTGTTGACCCACTGTAGAAAGGATGAGGCCATGGTGTGAAATGATGTTGTGGTTTAAGCCCAGCTGATAACAAAGCACCACGCAGCCACTTGCTCAGTCCTCCCCCCTGCAGTGGGATGGGGGGGGGCAGCCTGCCGCCTCACCACGGGCTTCGGGGGCATCAACCTCCTCCTCCACCTCCTTCTTCACTGACCTCACTGCACAGGGCATCCGCTCACATTCCAATCTCGTCCCCTGCTGCAGGTTCCCCTTCTTAAATCTTTTATCCCAGAGGCGCTACCACCGTTGCTGATGGGCTCGGCCTTGGCCAGAGGCGGGTCCGGCTTGGAGCCAGGGAAGTTTCTAGCAGATTCTCACAGGAGCCACCCCTGCAGCCCCCTCCCCTGCTACCAAAACCCTGCCACACAAACCCAATACAAATGGCCATAATTTCTCTGTTTTTTAACAGGTGTTCATTTTGCCAGGGACCCATCTGCTCATCAGACCTCGGTAGACTTACATGCATGCATTCTTACTTTGTCAGTCCCAAATGGCATGAGGCCTTAACAGATGAGAAAAGTCTGTCATTGCCCAAAGAAACCTATGGGCATGTGCAACAACAAAGCTATTTTACTACAAAAAGATAGGTGCCAAAGGACATACAGATACCTAATCAGATAAGCTGATTTTTCTCTTTTTTTTTATACTTACATGCCTAAAGTCCACCTTATTCGGTGGGTGTCCACAGGTGATCATACAGTCAGTTTGGTGGACAAGAAATTGCACCAGGCTCTCTTTAGCCTTTGGTTAACTTCGTAGCATTCTGCCCCTTTTAACTAGAGATGATATACTCTGTAAAGTACAAGACCGGAACAAAATGGAGCTTCTGCCCTTTTAGATACAAAGTCCTTGATGGATATTTCATCTCAGTGCTCTGTCATCAGTTCTGGTTCTTTGTCTGTTACAGAGACCAGTTCAAAGTCTCTGTCTTGATGTTGGAAGCTCACTGGTGGTGCATCTGCTTGGGGTTGCCCCTCTGCTACAAGCAGATCCTCCTACAGGTACATTCCACTGGGACTATGAACCTGTCGCAGAGAAGGAGAAGGCGTGCAAGTGTGGGATGTAAACATTACACATTCCCACAAGATAAAAATGACAGCACTCTTCACTGTTCTTAGAATGATTTAATTTCTTCAACTCATCATTCCTTTGACTATCTCCTTATGCCTATGCAATATTCAACCGTATATTCTTATTTCCCACACAACACAATTGTAAAGCCCATAAGCACACACAGCTGCCAAGCAGCTGTAACTGCAATCCTGTGACCTATGCAAGCCACTTCTCCCACAGTGAAAGGAAGGAAAACCTGGTATGAATCCTTTTCATTTTAAATACTTTTGTGTCCTTTAGAGGAAAAGCTGAATAGCTGGTTTAGACAAACGTGTGTCTAAATAAAACCTGTATATGTCTATATGCATATAAACAGAGGAGAAAATAAGCACCATTCCAATATTTTAGTAAATGAAAAAAACCTGTTCATTCAGTTGTGGAGGACACAAAGAAATGGTAATGTGGCCAAGGAAGAGCGCAGTACTTGCTTTAGGCTCCAGAAGCGTCATGTACTTTAGGTAAGATCACTCATTTATAAGCAGAGACGGGTGAACATGAGCTATGAGAGCCATGAAACTGCAGCTGAAGTCATCCTTTAGTGCCTTGTAGGTTATGGCTAACCATGGTGTGTTAAGTAAAATATCAAGCTGAATTACTTCTAGCAGTGAAGCATTGCCCCACAGTCAGTATGCGCTTCACTGCCCTCCCTGTTTCCCCCACCTCCATTTAATTCTTCTCCAAGTTTGGTCTTTATCTTCACATGACCCCCTCCAGCTGAGAGGGGAGGCAGTCAGTGCCCTATCTCTGTGGTTGTCACCATTGTTGTTTGTTTCTCCTTCAATGAACAATTAATAATCCTCCTCTGTAAGAGGAAAGCTGGCAGCTATGGTTTTCACCATGTTTTTTAACACACAAAGGAAGCTTAAGTTCTATTATACAGACAGAACAGATAAATAACAAAAACACTCTTGCCACATCCTACTACCACTGCATATTTACTAACTAGAATTTACCAGATATTTTGGCTAGATCTTTAAGCTCAAGATTCTGTTTCTTGATTCTAACTCACCAGTACCTGTATGGTCAAACAAAGATAGCACTGTTGATTTGGACAGAGAGATTTCACAAAAGCAACTAGCAATATCTTGCATGATGTGGATCTTCACTTTGTGGGAGCTCCTCCTATGGTGGGGAAGAAGATGAGCTTCAGTCAGCAAGAAGTGTGGTGGGAGACCTGCAGCTGGTGTAGCTCTTCTGGCAGTACTCCTAGTGTTTGGGGCAGGCTGCAGCTGTCTTAGCCAGTTCCCATGAACTCATGAACTGTCATAATACATACAGAGAAGGTCTTAGTTGTTTTTTTTTTTCCTTTGAGGCCTTTTGCATGTGACCCATTCTCTTTCTCAATTACTCTGTGCATGAGCAAACCCTGCGTGAGTTAGATGCAGCACTCCTTTCAGTATACAGCTTGACACTTTTCACCACATCTGAAAAATCAGGCATTTATGTATCTAAAGATGGATTTAGATGTGCAGCTGATAGAACTTACATTTAAAAATAAAAGCCTGCTCCTCTTTAAATTCAGCTAATTCATTTGGATTATAGTTCTGTTCTGGTTAAAGTTAAGATCAGCTTTGATAATTAGCAACAACAGTTTTCTTTTGGACAACCTGCAGTCACAGCCTAAAATTCAGTGTATGCCTTTGGATATGTGTAGGCCTTAAAAATGTGGAACTCACCTACCTGAGGGCTGTCTTCCTGTATTTTCGGGTTATTAATAAAGGTTGGACTTCACTTCATGGGGACATTGTGAGAGTCAAGTACTAGAGATATCTCACATTCTCAAGATGCAGCTGCTAGAACAATGACAGATATTCATGAAAGGAAGTTAAAAATGAAACAGTGAAAACCAAGCAGGTGACTATCCTTTAATAAAGTATATATTGAAGTGTTGGCCTAGATTTATTTGATAGAGTGTGAAGTATCATTTGATCTCATTTTCTACTGTTGTAACTGTTTGCTGTAGCTGCACAGTTTGGCATCTGAAGGCTTCTGTGTGGTTCTGGCCGAGTATTTATATGTGGATGTTGCTTTCCCTAGTTCCAGTCCATTGCCAGACTTGGCATAGGGAAGCAAGGAAATTGCCATTCAAATAAATTTCATTAACAACAACTAGTTAAACAAGTCTTTGACAGAAACAAGAAGATCAAGAACATACATGAAAATACTTGAACATACAGATTGATACCTTGAAGCTACTGTAATTGAGTACAGCTGAGCAGTTTGTTTTGTTCTTTAACAAAAACAGTTATTTCTGGCCAAAACTGAAAATGTCTTTCTTCCAATATGTTCAGTTCACATTTACGCTACACAGGTTATGGCACTGTTTGAAAATCCCCTCTGACCAGATTTTAAAATCACTAATGTATTGCCACAGCTTATACGAGGCAGCTTGCAGAGGTTTTTTATTACACAGAAACAGTATATTTCCAGCTTTATTACTTCTAGTTTTACCAAAACTGTACTTTCAGGGGAAAAGTCAGCTCTTCTGAAAAATCTCACTAGATGCTGTAAAATGCAAATAGACAGAAATGTCTATTTTCAGATTTTTATGTTCAGTTCAGCCACCACAGTCAAGTATAAGAAAACCCTGCAATTTGTATTCCCTTGACATGGAAGCTCACTAACAGTCAAACATTTTTTCTCTCCAGCTGCAAACACCTGCATTTAATAAGGGCTGTGAAGAAAAAACTCTACTATATAATACACCAGCTGTGTAACAAAGTCAGAGGTTAGATTTTTCAAGGAGCTGGCATTTAAAGGCTGTATTGCATTCTCCTCTCCATTCAGACTTCTTTAAACAAACCTGCTTTGCATTTCACCTGTGACCTACCTGGCTGCATGCCTTCTTAGGGACAAATCTTAGCTTTACCATATTGGTATTGTCTAAACAGTTAATTGATAACATTGTTAAGCTTGTGTGACTCAAATTCACAGACATAGCAAGTAAATGCAATAGAAAATGAGGCTTCAGGTAATTTGGACGACGAAAATATAATTTTCATGAAAAGTTTGTTTCATTGGGATATACAATATAAAATATGAACTTGTGTTATTTCTAGTTCTGATTTTATCAACACTAACAGTGCGCGCGCACGCGCACACACACACACTGCCAAGTTCTGCCCTCTGGAAATGTAAGCCAGATAAATAAAACACAATATAAATGTAGAACAGAGTCCATGCCCCAAAGACTTAACTGAAAATATTTTTTGTTGTAAATATTCTCACTTGTTACATGACAGATTCTCAAACCAATTATGGTTTTTTACTTAACGAAGTTTGACAGTTTGCACCAGAAAGGGGAACAAAAGAAGAACACCTGTAGAAACTCCCATTAATATTTCCTAAGTCTTAAATGGGAATTGTCAGTGTTTAAAAATAGACCTTACGCTCTGTGATAATTTATCTTGCAAAGAAAATGTATGAAATTCTACTTCTTATATGAGTGTCCAGTTCTTCCCTCACACACATGAATTTTGAGATGCTCTAACTGAATGATTTGTGATCTACATTTTTTCATATATTAACTGCAAGAGTGTGTTCCCTGCTTGGAAGAATTTTTGTCTTCTATCTTCTCAGGTTCTCCATACCTGGCATTGTCACAGAGTATTAGACGCAATTCCCCCAATTCAGCTGAGGTGTAGCTGTAGTCTGTATTTCTCTCCTGGTATCACAAGGCTAAAAGTCACACCCACTTATTGTTTAAAATGAATGTTATTGAATATAATTTTGTCAGTACAACTGCTAAAATCTCCTGTGCATAGGATGCACAGATACATAATGCAGCTGTTCTGTCTCTCCACAGCAGTTAAGATGATCCTACACTTACACAGCTCTAAGTTACCATTTTGGTTTTATCAGTGTCACATTGAGATAAAATATGAACAGCTGGCTACTTTCAATAGGCTTTGCAGGCAGTGCTGGGAAATAAAGATAGCTCAATGGAAAGAATGTTTTCTCATGTTTGCCTAAATGACATTAGTAAGAGGGCTAGAGCGGTACAACTCATCTGTGTAACACATTCCATCACTTCATTTGTTGGGGGGGGTCGTGCTTACTTACTCTGACACAGTTTTCCTCTGCAGTTAATTCCTTTTTATTTTATTTTTATTATATCAGAAAGATCCTCTGTATTTCATATAGCATGTCTTGAGATTTTTCTTTTCTGCCTGTTGAAGAGTAGTTTTCCCCTCATGGCATTTTCCTTTACAGCAAGAAATGAGAGGGCCTTCAAAGTTTTAATTTACTGTTAGGAGAGAGAGAACTATTTATTCCGTAATTCTCTGGCTATCGGTGTTGTAGGTATTCCTCCACACCTGCAAATCCATGAGTGCCTGAAGAAGGGCTTGTGTGCATAAAAACTCAATCAGCTGGTTTAGCAAGAACTCCTTCGCTCTCCCTACATGCCATGAATCACACGTAAGGGCAGCTATACTGATGGAAGCACACAGACATTCGTAAGCACATGAATAAATTCCTAGGTTGGTACAAGCAGCCCTGCTGCCCAGACATCTTTTACCGGTTTTGCTAAAAGAGAAGAACCTTCTAAATTCTAGGGTCCTAGAAATGGAGACAATTCTTTGGCACCATGGTTTCAGATTTTCCCACAGAGCAGTGGTAATGTATGGCAAAGGAACAGTGTTTCAGGCAGACTTGCCCTAGAAAGGATCATGCTGCTGGATTTCTAGCAGTACAAATGAGTTGAGCTCACTAACACTATGATCCCATTGAATGGAGGCAAGAAAACCCTAAAACATGGCTTACAAACCCCATTAATGGATTGCTTTATGTGCAGCGTATGTGAAGAGCCAATCATATCTTGTACCTGAAAATCAAGAAAAGCTTTGAAAGAAGGTTGGTTTTTTTTCACTTGAGGTGGCATAAGATACTGAGCTGGAACGGGTTTTGTGGATCACTCTGTCCAGGCCACTGCCTTAACTATATAATGTGGCTCCAACACTAGTAAACTTAATCTAAAAACTAATAGGATTTCATGGCCTCACTATTCTTGTTGAATGCCACCACAGTGAGGGCTAGAAATTCTTCCAATTTCTAGGCTGTATTTGTCATGGCCATCTTATGCCTGTTTGTTCCCATGTCAGCACCATCTTTCATCATCAGTGACCCCTCTCCGCTGTTCATCTCCTGATGTGTAGAGACAGCATACTTATTCCCTCTCAGCCTTTGTTGTACTGGGCTAAAGAACCCGGCTATTTTAGTCTTTTCTCATCAGATAGTTTTGCCATTCCTGTGATTATGTTGATTTCTTTTTCTAAAGTCTACAATGCAAATTAGGCTTTTTCAAGCATGGATGATCAAAGCTGTTCCAGATAAGCTCTCACTAGTACTCTGTATAATGGCATGCATGCTTCTAATTTCCACCCCATTCCTCAGTTCATCTTAGGATCATATCACATGGAGAGGGTATGAAGGTCATAGTTATGATGTGATCAACTCGCATACCAAAATTTTTTTCCCCTCTATTGTTTCTAACAATGTCTTTCATTTCTACCAGAAATCCCTGTCACTAATTTCTACTACCTTATACTTTATGCTATAAAATTTCATCTCACTTCTATTATTGTAGTCCTCAGGGTCATTAAATTCTCCCTCTGTGATATTCCAGTCCTCATCTACATTATCATTAAGCATTATGTATGCTTCTTTTCAAGAGGATAGTGGACATATATTAAATCTTCTTCCACGTACCTTTGTCTCTTCCTCATAAGCAAACTGAATTTTAGATCTTTGACTTTAATGTCTAGTTCTTACTGTACAACACACAAGATGGAGAACAAAAACACACAGAGAAAAGCCAACATAGTTTGTCTGGTATGACTTTTCAATAGTAACACCTTTGTTATACTACCAAATGTATTCCATTCTAGATACTGTTCCAGGAAATGACAAATGTTCGAGGTTGCTCCTGAATCAAAGGCAAACCATAATGTCACTGTAGAGTTGCATCATAGCTATATTGGTTTTGATAGAAGTAAGAATTCTCTGTTGTTATTTGGAACAATTTAGCAAATCCGTGTCTGAAATAATTGCTCAGATACCCATGCAGGTATCCCAAAGATAAACTAGCAACTTAAATAGGACTAAAGGATATTTTTGTCTAACTTCAGTTTGTCATCCAATACATATAGAAAAGAAAACCCCTTTTTTTGTTCCAAATAGAAGTTCTTGATTGTGTTTATGTAAAACCAACAAAGAAGCATTAATATAAAATAATCTATAACTGTAGCATCTCATATTATCTGCCAGGCTGCTTTACTACACAATACTGTGTTTTGCCATAGTCTCTACTGTCTAAATGCTAGCACATTTTATAGAACGATTCAAACAATAGAAGTGGAAAGGAGTTTGGTAGCGTAGTGTGTAGATCAAGGAGTGTCATGTGTGAAAGTGAGCTGTGGCAACTACGAACATTTGCCATAATGAACTCCTTAATTAGTTCAGAGTATTTAGTCAGTGCAGGCAGTAAATTTGTGGTTTCATAGTATTACTAAAAGTTTTGTCTGGCATTTGGAAATGTAAAGCAGCTGTAAGGTAATGGCCTTTCAGCCCCCTGACATGCCATTGGTTGAACCCAGAAACAGTTTGAATTTTACACAGCTTGTAAAGTTCCTTGAATGTTGGGGTCTTTCAATAGTGCAAACCACTCTTCAGAAGCTTGTAAGGTAATCACTCCAGGGAAATGTTCAGATGTACAAATTTACATATGGAGTTTCTATTAGAAGTAAATGATTGTTCAACACCATTTATGCCTTTGAAAAGTTTCCCACTGGGAGATGATCTCAATGCCTGTCCTTCCGTGTCTTTCTAAGAAAATCCAGAATGTTCTAAAAGGATCTGGTTTGCACATTTCTAATCAGAGAGATGTGAATGAAAAAGTATTTGTAACAAAACATAAATGTAAAGTCTCTTCCGAAAGGTTTGGATCCATGTATCGTGTAAGAGCTATCTTAAGAGGTGACAGTTTACAGACACTGTTCATCTTGCCTTTTTCCATCAAAATATATATAAAGAATATGTAATTCTCTGATAATAATTCAGCTGTTGTTTTGTACAATATATGCATAAAGGGTCTATTTTTAAATCTATATCAACTTTCATATTACTTTTAGTTCTTCCACACAGTGATAAACAGTATGATTTGTGTGTTTACGTTCAGTATGTTAGCTACTATCCATGCACAAAGGAAGAAATAGTTCCAGAGATGAGTAAGTACAGGCCAAGGACTCAGTCTTGCAATGACATCTGAGCAAATTCAGGGTCTTCCAGAAGAGTTTCTTAGAGGACAATAACATGAGAATGTAAGAAAATGAGTTAGTTAAGCACAAGGATAGAGCAAATGCAAATTTATTTGAAAGATTTCTAAAGCCTTCATTTGTAGCCATGTTGTTTATGTACTTAAAAAAACGAAACAAAAATGATGAGTCAAAATTGAGGGGTTTATATTTATCAGAACACATTCTCAGTTTGAAATACAAAAGTGGAACTTGAGGGGACGTAAGCTTAGCTGAAATCCATTGAAATGTGTTGTTTTGTATTTCATCTGAAATTTGCAAAGTGAGAGAATTTGATTCAGTCACTGTATTTATTTCAAGTTCTGTCTTCTCTTCCCTTGCATTTGGATTACCTGTACAATGCCTCCTTTCATGACCACTAACCTAAATAAATAATTTTCCTTTTTATAGGTTCTCAACCTAGTACAGTCCTATGTCACGCTGAGAGTCCCCTTGTACGTCTCTTATGTTTTCCACTCTCCGGTGGGTGTAGGAGGCTGGCAGCATTTCGACCTACAGTCAGAGCTCCGGCTGACTTTTGTGTATGACACTGCCATCCTGTGGAAGGATGGGATCGGTAGCCCACCTGAAGCAGAGCTCCAAGGTGGGTGTTGGATTTCTTTGCATTGAACTCATGTTCTGTTACTAAGAGTATAATTTGCACACAGTAGGATTTTTTCAATCATTCTAATACTAAAAAAAAAAAAAAAAAAAAAAAAGTACATCATTTATTATCAGTTGCAAACAATCTGTCATTTCCTAGCACTCACAGTTCTCTGCTGGGGTGTTTATGAAAACCATGTAAAGCTGACATCAGTTCTTTTATTGCAAAGAAGAATAATTGTCTTGTTATATTTTAAGCACATGTGCAAAAAATAACAAATTTATTTCTACTCAGAACCTCAAGGTTCACTATGTATTCATATTCTGTTACCACACAAGATGTTTTCACTTTAATGAAAAAAATCTGAAACTTTTCTGTGATATCATTTTTTTCTGGCCATGAATGTACAGTTTCAGAATCTTTTGATGTTTTAAAAACATTAATTGTGAAATATTCAAAAGACACAGAAATATACAATGGGTATAATAACCTGTCCTATGTGTTAGAGTAGTGAACCGTGAAACATTGTTTAAATGCAATAGATACTGTCAATAAATGTTTGTGACTATAGTTAGTCAACAAATCAAACTCTATCACTACAGAATTTATCTTTGCAAACAGTTAATTTATTTTTTAAAAATAGTGACATACAGATGTCTGTGAAAGATTAAAGTAAATAGTTACACCTATATGCTGCTTTGTTCTATTTATCCAAATTTACTTACTATATCCCAGCATTAAGCTTCAGGTGTTCCATATCTATCTCAGCCTAAGGTAGAATACAGGCACCAGCTATAATTATGTATGTACAGTTACACAATTTCAGGACTCCAGTGAACATAAAACCATTTTTTGTTTCTGAAAACTCTGTATATGAACTACAGAAGTCATTGCTATGCAATTCTGTCCTCATGTTAAGAGCAGGAAATGAGGAGTGGCAAGGGGAATCTACAGTGCATGAAGAATGAAGCACATGTCATGCCATGCCTAAAGAATAAGCCACATGCCACAAATCGTATGATGTACTAGTCACCAGATAACAACCAGATCTAATTCTCAGTCTCAGCAGTTATGTGGCATATCTATGCCACCATTTTCCTGTCTTTGATGCTTTAATTTTTTATTTCTCTCTTTAAGAAGCTGATGGCCAGGTCTTTGGAGATGCTGAACATTGGTAGCTCAGTATTTTCTCACTCCACAGCCTTGCACAATTAGCAGCTGGTTTTTTGGGGGGGCAGGGAGGGCTTAACTAGTTTCCAGTTTATTTCCATGCCTCTGGATACATATAATTGTTCTACATAAATTCTGTGAAAAACTGTAAAGCAGTCAAGGTCTTCTAAAGCCATAGTTCAATCATACATGTCTATTTATAATGTGCCAATAAATATGGTTGGTACAGGTGATTTTGTGTGGGTGATATACATTCACATTGGTGAGTGTGTTAGTTTTCTGACACATTCATGGAGGAACATTCCGGTTTCCTTCTTGCTCCTGGCAAGCAGAATGGTGGCACATCACTGGCTCTCTGTAAGGGAGCACTGGAGGAAACACCTGAACTCTGAAGCACTGCAGAGCTCTGGAGAAAAAGGGATGTGGCTGCAAGCTGCAGCAATAAACTGCTTCTGACGTATAAAAAAGACATTGTAACCTGAAATTAGGAAACATTAGGCCCATGTTTTGGGCCAGATTCATGCCAGAAATCACCAGCAATGCAAAGCCTGTCAGAATGAGTTTCACAGATTCAAGCACCTTCAAGCAGATTGCCACAACCAACTGCTACAACTAAGTGCTGGTGGGTGCTGCCTTGCAACAATAGATAGGGAGGCACTGATAAAGAGTATCTCTGAAGCAGCTTTCATTGGTAGGAGTCAGCTTGAATACCTAGTGAAAACAAAAGTATTCTTTGGTCTATAGAACCCCCTGGCAGCTGACAATGCTATTGCCTGAACACAAGCACCGACTGTGCTGTGGACTTTCCTCAGCCTACTAGAGCAGCTGTGTGAGTCCATGTAACATGTAAAACCATGACTTTGCAGGGAATTTCTGTATGTGCTTTGGAAAGCTGAAGCATTGTGAAAACTCTAGGCCCCCCTGTGTAAATTCATGTTGGAGAAGAATCTTGAGTCAACCCAAAAGGTACCAGCAGGCCCCCTCCCAAACAACTGACATGACAATGGGAAATGAAAGAGTGGGGTTGGTGTTTCACAGGAGTGTGATTTATTTGTCATCTGCAAGTGGAATAAATCTTGTGAATTGGCTTCTGCTGCCAGGTTCCCTGTACCCAACCAGCATGCGTATTAGTGAAGAGGGGCGCTTAGTTGTCAACTTCAAGACTGAAGCCCGGTTTCACGGTCTGTTTGTGATGTCCCATCCTGGTAAGCTTAATCTACACTTCAGCAGTACTACAAAAACAAAGACACTCCTCCCAAATTTTATAGTGTTCATTTTTCTTATTCTGCTACTGAGATCTGAATTTCTTATGTACCGTGCTCTTCAGATAAGGATTTTTCCCTTACTTGGGATTTCTTACTTGTCATTGATGACTGTATTCAGATTGTCAAATGTAATGAAATATGCATGAATCTTATGGAAAGCAGATAGTTCCACTTGATCAAGAGCCTGATTTATGAAAGATGAAGATCTAGGCCATTCTGTCCACTAAGGATCTATAAATATATGTTTTTAATCCAAAAGCTGTGATCAGCTACTTACTTACATTGCTCTAGGAATTTAGATAGCATTAAAATTTCTTTCCCAACTTGAAGCCTTTCTAGGTTATTTAGACCTTTTTCAGATAGTCACAAAAGGTCTTGTATGAACATTGCATCAACCTGTTAATAAAACATTCTCACTGCCATTCAGTTAGTCATTGCTGAGAACCTGATCCTGCAATTTCATCTGTTTAAAACCCTCTGCCTTTATTCAGAATAATCACAGGTGTAAGACTCTGTCTACAGACATAAATCTGAGCATTAATGCTGGCCATGGAAAAGATTATTTAACTATATTAAATCTGCTGAACAATAATGAGAAGGGAAAAAAAAACATTTTAAGAAATCTCTTTTAGTTTAAGTCAGTTTTATTAACCTATAAAACTCCTTCATGGTGCTTCTACATTTTCTCAGCTGTCCTCTAGAGTGTTAGGTTTTGCCTATCAGGCAGAGCCGAAACAGTTACATTGCTAAGAGATGTTATTTTTTGTTCCCTGGGCTGACATTCCAAGTTTAAAACAGGAGGGATTATAGATCTTTGCCATTCCACTCTCACTGTTTTGCCTGTCTGTCAAATTTAATCTTCATACAGTTCTGGTTGTGTAGCCCAAAAGCAACTGTTTAATAGACACTTGAACAAGAATCAAGGAGGCCCAGCTGTGTCGACTGTAATTGATTTTGTTAGTTTCAGTTAATAAAACCCAGTGACCTGTAAAGTTATTAACATCAACTATGGCATTATGGTTTATGAATTATTGGGAATGTTTTTCAGGCTCTGAGAGTTTGCAGTGAAACACTAAAGGTGACAAATCTGTCTCTTGGCATGTTTCTAGCTTCATCTCTGACTTCCATGGTTATGTCAGCTGATCACCCGGGCCTGACATTTAGCCTCAGCCTCATCCGAAGCGAGCCAACGTACAACCAGCCAGTACAGCAGTGGAGCTTTGTTTCAGATTTTGCGGTAAAACCTCAGCCTTCACGGTGTCTTTTGTTGCCTCAGCCTGTTAGCTAGGATGTTGGTGGAAGAGCTTTCTCTCTCTCTCTCTCTTCAGGTTCGAGATTATTCTGGAATGTACACTGTGAAGTTGATAGCTTGTACCACTGCTCCACATCAGGAGTACAGCCTACCAGTTATCTGCAGTCCTAGAGAGCCGATCACATTTGATCTGGATATCCGATTCCAGCAGGTACCAGCCCAATGATACCTTCATCATGTTTCCATTTTAGTTTGATTCCCAAATTGCCTTTGTTGGTCTTATAATGATAGTGCTAGAAACTGAATTTACTTGCTTGTGAACAAACCAATTCCTAAACTGGTGGGATAGCACATACTCCTGTCCTGCTATTTAACCAGTTTTACCCAAATGGGAACGGCTAATGTAGGAGCAAAAATGTTTTTTGTCCTCAGTGCAGGGCATTGGTTTGGGGGATAGTTACTGTGATATGAAATAACCTTTGGGAATTCTTTACTTGTCTGTTGACTTTGGTATGACATAGTTTTATCAGATAATTAGGAAAATATAAAACTATTATCAGAAGGTTTTCATCTGACACAAAGATCAGAGCTAGGTGTCTTATATTAAAAGTGGGACCTCCACATTTAGTCCTAAGGTAGGACTTCCTTCACTGACTATAGAGGAAGTGTAGATAGCCAACACTGGTAAAATGCTTAGCTTTAAGACTCACCAAAGTGAGTGACACAAATCCCACCCATAGCAATATGGATCATATGGTAACACGGGAACAGGCAAACAGCATACCTTTCACAAAGCCCAGCTGTAAAGCTCTGTAGCGGAGAACAAAATATGGAGAAATGGACTGCTGTAGAAAGCATTGACTGAAAAAAATCTGATGGTCATGTTGGATAGTTAACAGAACATAAACTGCCAGTTTAGAGTGTTATCAAAAGGGCTAACATGACCTTGGGATGCATAAGGAGGAACTTACATCATTTCTGTTATTTGGAGCCAGTACAACTAATACTGGAACAGTGTGGCTGTGATTTCATGCTCATTGATAGTATAGATGTATGCTATTAAACCATCTTACAGTATAAATCCAATCAGGAACAGTCAGGGATACATAATCACTTTTCTGTTGAATTAGCCAGAGTACACAAGGGAATGCATGCAATCTTCATGCTTTCATTTGGCATTATGCCAGCTATGGAAGAACAGATGATTCCCGATACGGCATCAAGTCCTGGTGAAGCAGAGAAATGATGCATGATCTGACATGAAACCTGCCTTCTCAGACTTAACCAGGAAAACATTTTGAAAAAGTTTGAAATGGGGGGGGGGGGGGGGGGGAATTTATACTAGTTCAGCATTTCAGGTTTTGTCTGGCATTTCTAATCTGCTTCTAGGAACTCTAAAGCAATTCACAGCAATGCTAAACCACACCTTGTGTCTGGTCCTAGTATAAGCAAGAAGATGTTGATAGTTCGAAGAAAATTCGAGAGAGCTGCAAAAATCATTGCAAAATGGGCAAAGTAGCCTAGGGAGAGACCTAACTCTTACCTGGAAGAAACCTATGACTAAGACTTAAGAACTGCCTTGCAATAAATAAATGGATACTATAGGTGTCACTATATCAGATAAAGCTTTAAAAATACAGTATCTAGGGATAAGGTGCAAAATTACAACAGTGTCATAATCACCAAGGACTGTGGCCTGTTAGTCCCCTGTCATCAGCAATTTTCAAACCAAGACCAGCTCTTTTTCTTGAGATACTCGTAGTAAAAGGAATTCAGGAAATGGAATGGAAATTATATTTTTACTTATTATTTCTGTGAAAAGGTTATGGGGGTAGGGTTCCTCTTTCTGAAGAGTAGCAGTGGGTTTATAAAAATATTTCAGCTCTACATTGTTCTTGCCAAATCCTGTTGCTTTGATAGTTTTAGGACTCTATTGTGAAAAAGGGATTTGAAGAAGAATAAATGTGGCAGCTGTATAACTTGCAGCAGTACTTTCTGTTGATATTGTTGTATCTCATTCCATCAGCCCCTTGTCCATAAGCCAGCAAGAATGTTTTCTTTTCTGTTTTCCTTCCTTCCTTCCTTTCCACACACATAACACATAAATAAACGTATGTATGTTAGCATTTTTTAATTTGTTTAGTGGCTGCCTTTTTTTTTTTTTTTTTTTGAATGTATCTTCCACATTGTTTCCTCAGGTACAGTGCATCTTTTTGAACTTCAGGCTTTCCCCAATTCTTCTGTTCACTCTATTCTTTCCCTTTTGTTATGCCATGTGCCTGTATAGTTTGGCTTCTAACTTATGTTATATGGCCCAATGAGAACCTGCTGCTGATAGTGTTGATTTATTTTATTCTTGTAATGTAATCATGGAGGAACCATAGATAAATGTGTCAAATATATAAAGATAAATATTACCATAAAAGGGTGTTCGAATGGTTTGATGTGTTTTCACATGCATGATTTGATATGCTGCAGCATGTCAGAAGAACTGATACTTGCAAATAAATCCTCAACAATGTGTACTTTCAAATAATTGGCAGAGGATCAGAAGCTGAGGTGGGACTTGGGTGTAAGATTGAAAATGGGATAGAGAAAACAGGCAGTGGTGTGTCAGAGGGAGACAAGTTATTGACGAAATATTTTCCTCACATTACCCCCACACATAAATTGCCCTGGGCACCTCCTTGGATGGGATTTGGAAAAATGTGGGAAGAAACTAACCTAGAATACTATCAAATATCACAGAGGCAGATAACCCAAAGGTGGTATGCATGTAAAATACACAGCAATATATGTCTAGTACAAATAAATCTTTTTGGTTAAACTGTGTTGTTGCATGTAGATGTGCAGAGCTGATTAATAATGTACATTGGGAGAAGGTCATGCTGTGTTTTAAGAGTCATTAAAGAATACTTGTTGAAGAGTCTTATGCTGTTGTGTTTTAGGTCAGTGACCCAGTGGCTGCTGAGTTCAGCTTGAACACCCAGATGTTCCTCCTCTCCAAAAAGACACTGTGGCTATCTGATGGCTCAATGGGCTTTGGGCAAGAAAGTGATGTTGCTTTCTCAGAAGGTATAATCATGCACAGATCATGCACATTTAATATGTGTTCCATGCTATCAGGATCCCATTTCAGTCAAAACAAGAGAGGAGTAATGGTTTGGGCTTGCTGCTTGTCTTCTTCTGCATTTGCCTTCCCTACCTGGCAGTTTACATCAGAACTGTTGGCCAATCTGCACTGAAACTCTTATGTCTGAGAGTTACAGTACTGGTGCCATTTCTCATAAGCTGAGCACTTTATAAACATTGGCTGATGTTAAGAACATTCCTAGTTGATAAGTGAATATTACACAGTCTTTTTCTTGTGGGTGAGTGTACTGGGTCTGGCTGGGATGGAGTTAACTTTCTTAATAGCAGCCACTATGGTGCTGTACTTTGCATCTGTGGCTAAAACAGTGTTGATAACATGCCAGTGTTTTGGCTACTACGCTTGCACAGCATCAAGGCTTTCTTCTTTCCCCCTGTCCTCTACTGAGTAGGCTGGGGTGGGAAGATTGATTCAATTGATACATCTGTCAGGGGACCTAAGCAGTCACTTCATTCCTCTGCTTTACTCGTGTGCCTCTTTTGCCTGTTTATTAGAGTGCCAACACCTCGAATACACGACTGTCTTTTGTGATGTATTTGCACAGTCTCTTGAACAGAGGGTACCTGGTCTGTCTGTCTCAAAGTCTACAGTTGCTCCAAATCATTGTAAAAGCAACGCAACATTTCTCCTTTCCTGCTCCAGATTCCTAACCTTCCTAACCACTTTCTGTCATATGTATCTGACCACTGCACACAGTATACTTTTCTTGCCTGCATAGAAACAGCTGAGGTTATTTGTACAGGCCTGGCAAGCATGTCTTATCTTGAACATTATCAGGCATCTGAAATGCAATTACACAGTAGGGAGCCAAGTCTCAGAAAATGTGTCTGTGACTTTTCATAATGTTCACTTCACTTGTACAGTATGCCAGTCTGACCAAGTATAACTAAACTCTTATGCAGCCTGAAAAGGATTCTGCTGACATAAAAAAGAACATCTCTTCAACAAAGTACATTGTCAGGAGGCCAAAACCTACACCCTGGTCTGGTGCAGAGGAGTACATAATGTTTCTTTAAGGCATTTTTTGAATGAAGAGCCCAGTGTAGCCCAGAATTAAAGCCACCCCTGAACTGGTTCAGGTTATAGCAACAGCAGACAGCCTCCTGCTGCTATCATGTGGCCCAGAGCTCATGGAAGAGTATGCACTCTGATCACGGCCTTTGACAAGCCCTACAGAGGAAGCTGGGTAGCAAGTTGTCTTTGGATATAGTCACATTACACAGCACTAAGCTTCTTGACTAGGCTCATTAACTCAGCCTCAGTACTGTGCTAAATGTTCCAGTGTAATAGGATGTGAACTGTGTGAACTGTTTACAGGTGATATCATATATGGTCGGGTGATGGTGGATCCAGTGCAGAATTTGGGTGATTCCTTCTACTGCAGCATCGAGAAGGTTTTCCTATGCACAGGAGCTGATGGATATGTACCCAAATATAATCCATCCAACACTGAATATGGGTGCCTTGCCGATTCTCCATCCCTTCTGTACAGGTTTAAGATTGTGGTAAGAGTTCTAATTCTGGGACGATGCAGATATATATTTTAAATTTTTTTTTCTAATTTCTTTTTTGTCCGAAACCAACTGTTCTTTAAAATGTTCTCAATGGCACCATATTTGTGACTCAGGCTCCAGGCTAACATGAACTGATGAAGGCAGTATCTTAACTTTCTCCCTCCTGGTTCTATTGTTAATCTTTCTGGAGACTCTCATCATTTAGAGTTTGACCTAAGTTAGAATCCCAAGATAGGCTTTTTCTCTGCATTGTCTATATCCATTGACCATAAAGGGAATCTTAGGAGACATGCAAGTTAAGGACTGGAATTTGTTTCATCTTTAGCCATCCAAAATTTAGTGTATAATGTAAAGTTACTCATCCAGGTTGCCTCTGTAGTCAAAAGGGAAAGAGAGATACCTCTAAAGCTGGCTTAGAATATCTGAGATTATTTCTGTTCTGAAAATAATTATAGAGTAAGCCTAGATGACTACAGACCTGATGCCCAACTTTTAGAGAGTTAACTTTAAGATGATTATCTAATTATCTAAACTAATTTATGTGAATGTCTGTTAATAGAAACAAAAGGTAGCTTCTTTAAACTGAGAAATAGACTTCTTACTTTTATTTCAGACCACATTTATGTATCTTTTTTATTTTAGAAATGTAGCTATGGTTGTTCTGTGGTGTTTTCTCCTTGTATTTCAACAAAAAAGTCTTCAGACAAAAGATTAAATAGAAGTTAATACAAGTCAGATGTGACCACAACTGCTTCTCATGTCTTTTCCCTTGATATTACACTGGATTGCATAAAATAGCATGTGTAAATTACAAAATTTATACATTGCATATAACTATTAGAACTGTTTTTCCTAGAATAAATGAATCTGTGTTTTGCAAACTTTTTTTTTCCCTCCATGACCGTGTAGGACAAAGCTCAGCCGGAGACACAAGCCACAAGCTTTGGAAATGTGCTTTTTAATGCAAAACTTGCAATAGATGATCCTGAAGCAATTCCGTTAGTTAAACAGCCAGGCTCTGATGGATTTAAAGTAGACTCAACTCCTCTATTTCAGGTATGATTTCTGTAACTTTTCAGCAAGAGTACTGAACCAAGAAAGAAACACTTGCACAAGAAGTGTTGTTAATAGTAAGTCATATTGAAGCCAATAGAAAGATTTATTCTGATTCCAGTGACAGTCAAACAGGATTTTAAATGCTTAAAATTTCTAGATATAAAATTTGGAGCACTTATTAAAATATTTTGGTAGGGATACTATGCTTTTCTCTCACTTAATTCCACAGTCTAACCAGAAATTATACAAATTATTCTTCTGCATTTCTTCGAAGAACTTGATAAGCTTCTTGTTACACAGCATTGTTTTATTGCTTCTCACTTGTCAAAGACAAAAAAATAAAAGAATCATAAGCATTTATAGTGAACTTCATCAAAGTCTAGTTGATACTCAGAATTTTCGGTGCAATTCTTTCCTTGCAAACTTGCACGTTGTGAAACATCTGAGCCCTGGAAAGCCTAGAAATTGACAACTAAAGGGTGCGACTACTTCTTAATTAAATCTAATCCTTCAGCTCTGTGCATTCATCCCTTTGATCTATATAACCCAGTCAGAAGTTGTCTCTTCATTATTTTTCTCTTTAGTATTTGCAAAAGTACATGCAAAACTCAAGTGTATAAATTAGTAGAAAAAATATTGAGGAGAGTTTAATCCTACTCCTGGCCACTTCAGTATTAAAAGTCCCATTGTAAGCAATGGAATATTTAAGAGAACGGCCTACTTACCAGTATAAAAAGGGTTTCATAATCTGCCCCCATGAAAATGAAACCTCATTTGTTATATGAAGAATCCATTTCCAATAATACAGTGATTTTTGGTCCTCCTTCTGTCAAAAGAATGAGAATATGAAGAAACAACAGTATATCCTGAGAAAGACTTGGAAAAACAAGAGTAAAATAGAAAATGTGTTATTTCTCACAATAACAGAACTTGGCTGCAACCACTGAAATTATCAGCCAGTAGCTTTAAGACAGTATTCAGGCAATCCTACTGGACCTTGTAGAGGCCAAATTTATTATGTATCCAGAAAAGACAAGACAAATTCAAGAAAGATAGCATCATCTCATGCAGACTGCAGGGAATCATGCAATCACAGAATGGATGAGGTTGTCAAGGACGTCTGGAGATTGTCTGTTCCAACAGACAGGCTCAAAGCAGGGTCACCTAGAGCACATTGCCAAGGACCATGTCCAATTGGATTTTGAATGTCTCCAAGGATGGAGACTCCACAGCCTCCCCGTTCCAATGTTCAACCATCCTCACAGTACAAAATTGTTTTCTTATGTTAAGATGGAAATAGAGCCACAGCCAAGGCCTAGTCAGCTGGCAAGTTAGGCCTAGAAGATCCTCTTCTGTGGTTTGTCTACATCTGAGGTTCTTTGTATGGTCTTTGGTACCAACAGTACCAAAAAAATGCCAAGGCTATGCTTCTTCATCTGCACCTGATAGGCATAGAGTCTGGACATGGAGAGGAATGGAGACTACACCCTATTAAAATTTTGGCTGAAAACATGACTCCTCTGGTGCACATTGGCACATAGTGAAGGGTTATCTGTGCATGATTTTGAAAGTACTTGTCCAGGAAATCAGTTCAGAACAGTGACTGATTTCATCTGTGTATAATGCTGTCCAGATTCTGTATGTTTGTGTTTAAATACAAAAAATTTTGTCTTTCTAGGTGTCTTTGGGTAGGGAGTGGTATGTCCATACAATCTACACTGTACGTTCAAAAGAGAATGCTAACCGCGGAATTGGCAAAAGAAGTGTGGAGCACCAGTACCACTCGCTCTTTAGTGGTGGGAGCCAAGGAGCATCCACACAAAGACGTCAGAAGAGGGGAGTTGAGCAGGACCCAGAACTTGCAAAAGACATTGGAGTAGAAAACAACCGAGGAACAAACATACAGCACATAGCACTAGATCGCACCGGCAAGAAACACATTCCTCAAAGGGAGGTTGCAGTCAACGGCGTTCTCCCCAGGGAACTGAATAACCAAAGTGCAGGGGTCAGCATAGTCACAATCATTGGTGGAGCTGCTGCCATTTTCCTTGCCATCTGCTTAATTGCAATCATCATTTTGCTGCTAAAATGGAAACAAAGTTCTGAGAAGAAGGAAGCCACAAAGGAGTCGGGCAGCAATGAACCAATGATGCTACAATATAATTACAACAGCGACAGCTCAGAGGTTTGATTCCAAGACTGCAGGATTCAAGCCAGAGTCTCCAGAGTGCCTCAAAAAAACTTGAACTGCACTTTGTTAGCAGCAGGTCATGGTGACTTATGAGGAATAAAGAGTTCATATGCTTCTAAGTGTACTTGAAATTTTTTATCCTGAAGTCTTGCTGCCATTATCAACAATAGAAGAATCCATACCGAATCTCCCACTTTGCATGAAAGGTAATCCTGATGGCCCTATATCACACACTAATCTTAAGCAGCAATTCAAGGAACTGCATTGTAAGGGAGAGATTTTTGTTTTGGTTTTGTATTTTCTGACATTAAAAAAAGCAGAAGAAGCTATCCAAAGGTGCTATATATCCTGTCTGCAATAAGACAGGAAATCTGTTTCTTTGGAAACACAGAATACTTGAAAGGAGAAATCCTTACACTCTTCAGTTAAATTTTGTACTGTTTCTCACAAACAACCCAATGTCTACAATTAGTTTGAAAGGTGATGAAATGCCTTAGGCATGAATCCTCCTTCCTATAAGCTTTTGACTTCACTTAAGCTATACCAGTGATTTTTTTTTTCTTCACTTATATGTAACTGAACTTTTTCAAAAGACAGCTAGATTAGACAGCATAACATTATAAACAGTTGCATGTCACAGGATGCAATACATACTCTTTTCTGCAAATTCTTATTCAGCTATTTAATCTGAGAATTTTTTTCCTTATTTATGTTTATATAAAGCCAAAGAATGCAACAAATCCAGAAAGAATTTTGTTTTTCACAGAAACTGGATGCTTATGTCCTCTTAAGTTTATAATGGATCTTGGAAGTGTTGTAAGGTAAATTATATTTGGTAGTGCATATCCACTGCTGGGAAATGCAAGCATTAGTATTTCAGTACCTAGAGAAAATCATAGAGTTAGATTTAAAACACAGAGGACAAGGTTCTGCCTGAACTGAGCCTAGGAATGATGATACTGAATCCAACATGTAATTGCCAGTTGCCATATTAAATGGTAACAAAAAGTGAAGAAAAAAATTAACATTTGATGGAATCAAGGAGTATTTATTACTGTATAATCATAGCACACCTTGACAAACGTGCTGGGTCATTGTTGGGCATTTTTTAACAATTGACTACTTTTGCAAGAGTAATTCTCATTTTCTCTCAGCGTTCTTGATTTAGGTGACATGACAGCATGATGTTCCACAGAAGTTTGGATCAGCAGTGTCCCATGTCAGTTCTTATCCAGACAGGACCTGTTCTGTCCCAAAGATATCCTGCGAAATGCTTGGCTATGAAAGCTATGTAACCTTCAGGACAGATTGCCCCATTTGTCACACTAGCATAATATAAGTCCTTTCAAGTCAATAGAGTTAAACTATATAAACTATATAAAATCTGAATCAGGCTGTTGAGACTGCTGCTAAAATACCTGTTCCCTTCCACCATCTTGTGATGGTGGCTGTGGGCAGCCCCCAAAGTATCTTCAGCTGCAATACGCTTGGCATTTGGTATTCTGGGGACCAAGCTGCAGACATCTGCGTTACCTGAACAGGATCCAACTTGAAAGCAGCCTGGCTGCAAGCACACAATGCTGCCTCTGAACTAAAAATCTATCCAAAAGGCTTCCTGGCCTGGCTGTGGTGCTCTGTCAACACAGATAGACCTGACCTAGTAATTCCGCACAATCATCCTCCGAGCCATAAAGACTCAGAAATGTTGAGGTCTCCTAGCGTAGGATTATCTGTGCTATGATTCAAGGTACAGTGTGAATATACCCACAGAGGGACTTGTGCTGATATCTCTTGCTCTGGATTTATATTGTTATGACTTCACTCATTTAATAAGATTTCATCAATTTTTCACCAAATTAATTAAAGTTGCTTGCAAGCAAAATCTTTTTTTTAATTATTATTTCTTTTTATAAAACCACATCAAAAACCATGTGTTCTAGAAGCCAAATATTTAGCCCAGTAAACAACTTCATCACTGCTTTGAATAGCATCTGATTACAACTCTGTAAAATGTTTAGGGTAATGGGGATTATCAGACTAATGTTCTTCTAACAATACATAAAATAATAGTGCAAACTGGTGATAAAGAAAAATACAAAGTAAGCACTGAAAAGCTGGACAAGCATGAGTAAGATTCATGAGTCAGATATCAAAGTCCTCTCCCTGGGAAAAAAATCTCAATGTTTTCAGTAAGGTCTGCCAGATTTGTCCCATTCTTAAGAAATGGGATTTCTTACAATTCAGTGAACTATAAATACATCTGTAACAGCATGCCTTTTTTATTATGACTTCAAGGTTTTAGATTTCAGCAAACATTGGAGGCTTATTAACATTTTCCCTTCTACTTAACAAGTGGACTTCTTTATACTAACCTGAATAAGTGCCTCGTTCCCAGTTATGTGCACAAATATGTTAATATTTATCTATCCATGCAATAAACTGAGTATTTTATATATATATATTTAATCTATTTCCAGATTATGTATTCAATCCTCTTTTCCCTGGAGATGCTTATTCTGCTAGCAGTAATACGACTTGTTAAACCATTTACACAATAATTACTGTGTTTAAACTTGTTATCAAGCTGTCAAAAATCTTTCCATGCATATTTATTTGGAACAATTTTTTGCTTATGTCTATGACTCTGATATTTGACACTTCTATCAGGAAAAAAATAAAACTACTTTGGTTTTGGATACTGATCTGAAATTTGTGTATGAATATCACTGTGGAGAGGGGTCAGTAATGCAGTGTTAAGACAAATTAATTTGTCAGATCGATGGAAGAACATAAACTTACTGCTGTGTTTGCAATAAAAGTCACTGCTGTGTTCCTGAACTGATTGTTTTCTGGTTGTGAAGTGTTCAGCACAGGGGTTGTTTTTTAATCATTGTGGTTGCACTCAGGGCTCACAGAGGGATTTTTGTTTCAATTCCAGAAGATCAGAAATCTCTAGATATCTGCAAGTCCTTTGTAGGTTGGATTGCCATGTTCCTGTGTGCTGGAGGGTTTACTGTGTTAGACTTACTGACAAGTGAACACGAGTCTACAGGAAGCAGTTCTCTTGTTCCTGCAGCGCTGATGTTGCTGTCAGTTGTTTCTTGTGCCAGCTCATTAGATTTTTTTTTCCCCAGTGGCAAATTTATCAGGTTAGAAATATATGAGATGGAGACACTTCAGTGAAACTTTTGTGTGTGTGTATATATATATATATATATATACACACATACTATGATGCAGAAAGTAAAAGCAACTCTGAATCTTTCCCCTCTCACCCCACCCCTTGTAAACTGGCCAGCACTGGCCTCTGATTTCTATGTGAACTTAAGCAAGCACCCACCTCCTTCACTGTCAGAAAGGCTATACTTCATGGCTAGTTACGTGAGTGACACACTATATATTTACCAACTGCTATAACAAGAATAAACTAGCAGGCAGTGATTCCTGCTTTGCTATGTCTATTCCCTTCTACTACCTAAACTTGCTCATGTGGATAATATTCATAGCAGTTACTTAGACTGATCTGAGCCATCTGATGTCGTATCTGTGAGATCTATGTTGTGATTTCTGCCAGGGCAAATCAGACTGGAAGTGTTTCTATCCTGCTCCAATATAAATAGCTATATATAATGTAAATGAATAAAGAATCTGGTCACAGGACTATAGCACTATCAACAAACCAAAGGGCATTTATTTCCCATGCTGAGATCATCCACAGTGATCAAGTCATGTCCACATTTGTTTCGGCACTTAGTGGAATTCTGATACTACTAAGGTGTCCAAGCATGTTCCAGCAGGTCCAGGATGACTTTGTCTTCACAGCCCAAGCATGGTTACATTTCAGCATTTATAGGAGTCAGGGTTTTTCAATGCATCCTCACTGGCTTTTGAAAGAATGATTCAGCTCCTACCCTGAAAGAATTCAGCTCCCACCACTGAATGCTTTAGCTTTGAAAGCTGTTCATTAAATTATTCTCAAGCGATTAGCTGTTTGAATTTTCTTTTTCTTATTTCTTATCTCAAGAGATAATCCATTCAGAATTTACCCTGCACTACTATTGCTTTGGTAAGTAACCACTGACTTCCATTAAAAATGAAGGGAACAGCTGGAAGATTCTTAAATGATGCATCTTATTTCATTTCATGGCCAATGCTCAAGCATGCAATGGATTCCCGCTATCTCCTGTTACATGCATTTTCATGAAACAATTTTTCCTGAGTGTAAGTTTACATGTAAAGCACGAATCTGCTGCACAAGTTAAAGTGCTCCAGTTAAATTAGTGCAACTGGAAGATCAGGTATAACAATAGCATCTTTTTGACCATTTTTGTAGCAAAAGCTCTAACTCAGTTACCATGGAAGACAAGAGGAAGCATTCTGGATAAGTGCATGATGTATCCATCTCTTTATTAATGTCTGCTTTTCTTCCTTTTGTATTCCCTTCCCAAAAAAAGCATATAATGGAACTAAATGAGACAGCAAATGACAAAAAGAATGATAAAAGTTAAGAAATGTCTTCTCCATAAGGAGAGATTAAATACATAAGACTCTTTTCCACTCTTCAGCCTCAGAAAGAAATACCCAAGGGACAGTATTATAGAGGTGCATTAAATCCTGAATGTTACAGAGATGATAAGTAGGGAACAATGTTTCACTGTTTCTTGTAATATTTTAGAAAGGTTCCACCCAACAAAATTTGCTGGCTACAAGGATGAAACAAGTAGGCAATACCTAATCATCTGACCTAAAATTAAAATTGCTAGACTCATTACTGAAGGATGATGTGTATGCCAAACTAAAAAAGAAGTGAAATTCATGGAAGAAAAGTCCATTACAATCAGCTATTTGTTTCAACAGGTAGTTCAGAAAGCCCAGACTAGAAAAAGCTGGGACGATTCAGGAAAAGGATCAGGCTGTTAATCTTCTCTTTCCTTTCTCTTCCCTACAACTCCACTACTGGGCACTGTCAGAGGCAGATCACTCAACCCAGAAGAGCCACT